CCAGACTAAACATGCATATGTGTTGCATTTAGGGATGTTCACAACCAGAACATTTGTATGGTGTAAGACTTCGCCTTACTTATAGATAACATTCGTCTTGGTGAGCTTTGTAATCTTTGATTTATATATATGTTTCTCAGAAATCTTATTCGCATACTGTCCACATCAGTTGTTTTAGTTAAAGTAAGTTTTGCACTACTATGTAATGTTGTAATGCACTATACCTGAAATATTACATTAAGAAGCAGTCACTGGCATTGTAATGATCTCAAATGTGTTTTACTGCTCAGTGTATCTTATCGACCCCATTAGTTCAAAAAAGCAACCCGGGTTGACGATTTGTTAAGGCCATCTTACAGATACAACAAAGGGATGTGGCTGTTAACATTGATCTCATCAACGGCATCGTCACGTGTAAAGGTCAAAACGTCACCATCGGGACTATTGCCATTGTTTAAATATTAAGGTAAAATAGCACCGAAATCAAAAATATTTTTGGTTTTCCAAACTTCATTAAATATTCCTAGAAAGGGAAAAGGGAGAAAACAAAACGGAAACATCTTTTATTCTACGAGTAGGATGGAATCGTATCTTTCTTGTTGAAGCATTGAGAGGGACTTGAGTTATCTAGAATCTTTTTAAAAATACTAGTCTTTTTAATTAAAAAAAATGTAATGATTGTAAACGATCTTATCTTGAAAATTTCCGCATATTAATATGTATAAAGGTTAATTTGCGGATTATAATCTTTGACGAAAGAAAACAGTGTTATTCACCGCGGCCACAATAACCTCTATCCAGATATGTCCCTCGATCAACTTGCCAGTGAATCACATGCAAAGTGGGGTCGATGGACGTGTTCATTTTATTTCTGAAACGTGGCAATAATTGACTCATTTTTACTGACGCTATCTGGTCAGTGGTTGACCCGTTGTATTTTATCAATTTTCGTTGCATTGATCTTTTTCAAGAAATAATTTTATTTCAAGGTTTATAACTTCATCTATTGACTGTAACGATATTTTAGTTTTTTTTCGTCTACATTTTAAACTATAGTAGTAAAACTTGGTGACCACAAAAAGTTCACATACTGTAATCGCGAGATTCAATCATTACAACATATTTCCTTTGCCTGATATGAATCTTTGTCTATACAGATATTTTTTTTCAATGTATTATGAAGGGAGATCCAAATGGATAAGATTTCTTTCCGAGAGACGCCTTATACAAAAACTAATTGTAATGATTTCAGGCTTCAAGGATTTTTTTTCGAACTTCTGGGAATGAAGGGATATAAAATATGAACTGATTTATAAGATTTCATTAGGTACATGTATATGAATAGTATTATCTGCTTGTATTTGAGCTTATGGACATCTTAATCAAAGGACATAGGATACTCATGAAGTTTTTCCTTTAAAGCCTTATTCTATACATAAGAACGCATAGGGGAAAAAAATTGAAGCATTAGATAAAAGGGATGATTTTTTCTATTATACAATAGGATTCTGATTATGTAATAATACAACAATGAAAATCGATCTTAAATACATGTATATGGAATACATCGATATCTAGAAAATATGAGGACATTTTGTTGGATTTCATAACTTTAAATTTTCTTGCTTTTTATTGCATTTCGCTTGATTTGAAAGTATAGCTTTTGGAGCGAATGATACAAAAAGAATGGTTTAAAGGTAACGTGTGATAGAAATAAAAAAAAAAAATCTGTAGAAACTGTTTTACAAATTTCTATTACAAATTATTTTAGTATTCTATGACCATATACTCAATTTTTTTCACTCAAATGTTATCATTACGACGATCATGCTGTTATAATTTACATAGAGTTCTGCGTAAATTGACAGCCTTTGTCTTAAATGAAAATCCCGATTCCAAATCACGTTTCCTTTGTTTCATGTAGGATATGCTTAGTTTAAGTTTCTATTTAGAAAACCATCCCAAGGAAAAGCCATATTTTAATCACATGTTAAAATGTAGATTTAACCCTCTTTTTCCTTAATTCGGAAAAAAGATAATATTTTTGGAAAGCGGTTATTAGTATGATTTCATTCTTTTATTATGTAGCTAAAAAGTTTATAAGTAAGGAAATAAATTTAGACATAATTTCAAGTTTGAAATATTTAACTTAAAGGTGTGTTTATTAAATTGGAAAAGTTACAGGAAAAAACAAGATTAAGTTTTGAGATAGTTATGATATGTCGCCATAAAACGGCATTGACAAATACGAGAGCGGATAAGATTTCTGTCTTAAATATGCTTCTCGTATGACAAAGTAGGCAAATTGGTTCTTGTATCCTTCTCAATATCTGTTTTATGCTTTGCATCTGGGACCAACATTCCTCTGAAACATCATAATTATAGAATATTATATGTATAAATAAAAGATTATCTGCATACAAAAATCGTTATTACATAATTATTGATGGTAAAACTGAACAAGAACCGTAAACTTTAACAGATAGTTATGCATCATTTGTTAGATAATGAATTATTTAACGGTTTATATCAATCTAGCGATATTGGCCAATCTCGCCCTGAAGAACGTGGATGACCACTTGCACTGGTCACTAAAGATTATGTAATGGCAGTTGCACAAGTTAACTAGAGATAATGTGCTGAAACCTAGCAATAATAATTCTTAACCATATGATATCAATTTATTTCTGAAAAAAAAAATACTCAATCACTATATATACATATCCGGCTTTTCAGGCAGGGCTTTGAAAATATGAAATGGCTACATTATATTGCAGCTTAGTTCTTTGTTGATTAACCATATATACGGTTAATTGTAGCGTTTCTCCATTACTTTTTTATGCATCGGTGTCTAGGAATAACATTATTCTGAAACAGTATCTGGAGTGATTTAAGGAATAACTGTCTTATTTTTTGGATTCATGATGTGATCAATCGAGTGGCTTGCGTGATAATTTGCATAAACGCCGAAGGCGTTTATGCATAAAATTATCACACAAGCCAATCGATTGATCATCGTCATGAATCCAAAAAATCTGACAGTTATTCCTTATATTTACATGCTCCTAATTCTGCAAATTCCCGTGCTAATAGCCCCGCTTCTGTCTCTATTTGTCCCGCCCCGCACGTGATTTTTTTTTAACCGCGCCTATCGATGAACCAGTAGATTTATGTAGAAATAAAGTATTTTTACAATTTGTAATTTTATCTCGGACAAAGACATTGGAAATGTAAATATATATGTATAAATGAAAAAAAAAAAACTCTCTCAGCATATAAGATATTTTAAGAAGATGGTTATTTTCTAAACTCATAAAGTTTTTACGTCAACTGATCAAACAATGTTGAAGGAACTGCGAACTTTGACTCATAGTTATGCATCAATTGTTTTGTAATAAATTATCAAAAGGATTACGATATCTCTAGCATTATTGGTCAGTTTCGTCCTGAAGATCATCAGTGACCCCTTGGACTGGTCACTTATGATTATGCCATGGCAATTACACAAGTTAACTTGAGAAATGATGTTGTATCCTAGCAATTATGAAGAAAATCAAAGTCTGTGCTTCAAAAAAGCATGAATCGGTTACAATGAGAATTATTTATTTATTTATTTATTTTTGGAAAAATGACGCAAATCTATTTTTTACATACAAGTTTCGTTACAATAACTGCGTACCTTATACGGGGATAATTATTTCCTGGATAAACAAAACTATCGATTTCAAAGGATAAATACCTCCCGATCACATGCCTTTCAAATATCAAACATTCCTGATCTGTTGAAATCGTTCAGTTGGTCTTTTTTAATCTACGCGACCTCTGTTTGACACACCTATTACGTAATTTTAGGTGGTTTTAATGTAGTTGCTAGGGAAAAGAGAAACACGTGTTTTAAATTAAACGAATTATACTAGAACTGTGCATTTTATATTGAACTGTCTCTATCGTGTAGGGTGAGCAGACTTGTGTTGATAAAGACTGACTCACAGCATTATCATCTGCAAGAGGGCAATAATCTCCATTGTCTAGTTAATCTTACACTTGCCCATTTTTGTCACGTTTTCCATGTCGTGTTTCTTTCCTTTTCCTCTTTCATATTCTCTGTCGTCATAACTTGCTGAAAACATTTTCTTATTAGTTTCTTTCAAAGGGGAAAAAGACAATCTGAATTTATCCATCACCAAAGCATAAAATTAGTTATGTTGATCTTGTTAAAGAGACACGCCTAGTTGTCAATGTCACCCTGTTTAAAATCTGCTCGGTGTCAGCTGATCGAATAGGTAATGTAGAAAATTAAATGGTTCGAAGCAATATTTGTAGGTACTGGCGGATTTAGAGGGGGGCCACTGGCCCTACCCCTCTCCTTTGTGACCAAAAATATGCATGAGATTAATTAATTTTAAGTCGTGGGATATTGCATTAATTATACATAATGTATAGATAAAATAAGTCAAAAAAATTTCCATAAAACTCATAGAACCAGACACCCAAGTGGTTCCTCCCTTTTAAGAATCCTGGATTCACCACTGGTAGGTACTTGTTTTGAACACATAAGCCAGAACTCTGTTAAAATATACATTTTTTGTTGAGAGGAGCTTTTAGACCCCCTCCCACTTACGTCATTTTATGTTAAAGCTTCAATATTCCTAATACAATATGCCGAACAATTTTTTTTTTTTTGGGGGGGGGGGGGTCTTGAGCTCCTCTCGAAATGCTCTGAATGAATTAGAAACTTACGTTTGAAATTATTTATCCCAGTAACGAAGAGTGAGGTTTGATATGTGTTTTAATATTTGTGTTGAAATGACCCGTGGGTTTAAATGACCAACAGTTGCATTGTAGAGTTTGAGGATCTCAGGGATTTAAAAATGTTCAGGTATGAAAATATTTACCTGTGTAATTGTTGACCATGACCTTGAAAAGTGCCTTTTAAATTTCTAGAATGAGAGATTTAAATGCAGACTACATATATTTTAAAAAAATATTCAGATCTCAAGTAAGTAAGTTAATTTTATTGCACTTAAAACGCTTTCTTTTTACAATGTTGCATCAAAGTCTTTTGCATCTCAAAGAAGGCGATGAAAATGAGATTGCATTATGAAAATGATGAGATTCTGGCATAAATTAAAGGCATGAAATGTCTTTTTTGGTTTGGCACATGAACAGAAAAGTCTAGTTATTTCCAGCTAGCAACAGCTACAACCGAATCTGGACTCAGTCTTTACCACTAACTTTGACAGGTTTGTTGTGGTGAAGGTAGACATCGTGGCTACAGGCTCTCGTGACTGGATTCTCTGAACGACATTTTTTGCCAAATTGCCGAAAACGTCGTTGATTTCACTTTGGTTATCAACATTCACTTCGGCGTACGTAAGATTCAAATAGTCTGAAAATTTCTGTGCACGGTCTGTAGACACTATCCTCTCACGACCTTCTCTTTGAATCCCCACAAGTACCACAGAAACGTCACTGCTGTTACAGTAATTAAGCATGTCATTGTACCTAAAGCAAATAAAGAAAACATGTTCTCTGATTTTGCACATTTTACCCATAAATAGATAAGGAACAGAAATCTGATATTTTATTTTCATCTTTGTACCATTTGAGAAGAAAATTGCACGAAATTTTATACATACCAGTTTTCAAGATTGACAAAGGATGTCTCCTGAGAGAGATCGAAGGCAATGATACACCCATTTGCTCCCCTGTAGTAGGAGGATGTCACGCTTCTGTATCGCTCTTGTCCTTAAACAGATCGATCAAATATTTAAAGTGAACGTCTCATTTGTACCCCTCTAATGAATTTTTCAAATGTGTCTGTTTCTTCATAAAAGTATAAAATGATATAGATAACATTGTATTTTTGATATGTGATACTTTACGTTTAAAAATGATTGCCTTACCTGCAGTGTCAAATATTTTGAGATTGCAGCTCCAGTCTTTGTCAGTAACTGTGTGATGAAAATAAAGAATGTTGTTATTTTTGTTATTTCCTGTCTCGTGGCAACCACAGTACCTCTCCACCAACGTTGTCTTTCCCACTCTGGAATCACCAATCACGATGAATTTCAAATTGAAGTCCTTCTTCTTTTTGGTAGATATCCTTTCTTTGTTATTAACAGACGTTGGTTTTGTTGAATACATTCTGTATGATTTAAAGTCTCTAATCGTTTACTTATCGTTTCTTCACAAAGATGGCCGATTTTAACAGGTAAAACCGGCCAGAATGTCATATGTCGATAACGACAAACGTGTAATGTGATCAGATAGCTAAATAGGTATTAACGCTTCTGATATAGTATTTGCTGCACTGCTTTCAGTTTGGTTTTATTTATACTCTGCACAAAGGGTGTATCGATACCGGGTAGCAAAGTGGGAGGAGTTTCATGTCAATGAAACGTCTGTCAATCTTTATTTAAATCCAGTTTTACCTTTTTGCACTCTCTGAATAACATAAACAAAGTTTACCGTCTGATCTACTTCAACTGACCGTAACTGAATCCTTTAAGGAAAGATGAAAATAACTCTTAGAAAGTGAAGATGTGCACAGATCTCGGATTAATATAGAAAACAAAAAACTATTTGAAGTGTAACAGTATCATTAATCAAGAAATGAAATAGCATAGACAAAAAGGTACATAGAATGGTCTATAAATGAAGTTTGATTTCAGCCCCGATACATTTATTAATAGATATCCCATCTAGCATCGTCCCTAAAGAGATAAAATAATTAATTCTTATTAAGAATAATTAAAGATAAATAGAAGGCAGTTTTGCATTAATGAAAATCGAATAGGATTACCGAAAATTGTTTGTATCAATATCAAAACCTTTTGTATATCATTGCGAAAATATTATTAAATGTAGTTATTTTCCAAACTAAAGTAGAGCTTCTTCCCTTAGCCAAGCTGTACTTTGGTGTCCTGCTCATGACCCTCACCATGAGGTAAAAGGGGTATTCGATCAGGATAATTCTAATGAATTTAATCAGCACTATTTTAAAGATACATGTGGAATTTTAAATTCGACTTAAAACTGGATGAAAATGCTTATACATGTAATACTCCACAAGAAAATCCACGTATAAGTTACTACAGGGTATTTGTATCCCGGAGTATGATTGTGAATCTTACTTCTTATGATTGCAACACCCATTTGCACAATTCTATTTTGTGATTCATATATATGCGATGTCACCATTTTTTGAGTTTTGTTTTTCCCCTATTCGTTTTTGTTTGTTATCTCCATGATTTCGAATTCGAAAACAAATTCGTGATCGGAAGGTCATGGGTTCAAACCTTGGCCGCGACTGACCTAAGTCGATAAAAAAATAGATAGCTCGGCACTTTGAAGTGAAAGTTACGGGTTTTTCGGATGAGACCATAAAAAAACGAGGCCCTGTATCACGGTATACGTTGGCATAATAAAAATCCCTCACTGCTCAATGGTCCTGAGTGCCGAGGAAAGGTCTACATTTGAAGAACTATATAGTGGTATATGGTGACGTTTTCATATGAGTGAAAAATTCTCGAAGAGGACGTAAAACATCATACAATCAATCAATAAAAAAAATTTGATTTGGGGTGAGTGAACAAATAAGTGTACATACATCAGTTTGCATATTGTGTACAGACAATATAGAAAGCTCAAAACAAAACAAATTCCTAAGATTTTCAAAACAGTTTGTGCAGGCTTTATCATTGCTCTTACATTCTCCCCAGATTCCAAAACTTCTTGGAGATCAATCTCATCAACGGTAGGATTACAGAGAAACTTGCTCGTTAAATATTTTTGTAACAATGTATATTTATGCGGATAAAAAAAACCAAATTTAAATTTCCATCACTTTTGCATTTATGATGCGTTTTGGATATTATATCATACAAAAAGAGGTTTATATCCCATTTGAGCAACTGATTGCTACCTATTTAAGCAATAACTAAGCACATACAAAAAACTGTAATTTATATATTTTTGTAACATGTTTTAGTATCGGGTTTTTTTCTTACCTGTCATCTCACTTTGAATGATTCTATATGATCTTTTGAAAATGAAATGATTTTTGATAATGATAACTTACTAGTTTTCAAAATTTCACGCAATGCAATGTTTGTTTATAAAGATGCAGCTTTTTCTACCATTATATAATTATTAATGAGTTTTTGAGCATTAGAAATTGTGCGTTTTGTGCTATGAATACTAATGATTGATATTTTTGACTGCAAATACTTTTCTGAGGGCTGTTATATAAAGTACTAGTGTGATTCTTCTTTCCATTACACGAACAGGCAGTCCATCACCAGAGAACTGGTACTTTTGTCCTAAAAACTAACACTTTAAGAAAGAAATTGTACTTTTGATCTTCTGCAAATTAGGTTTATGCAGTTTGCTCCGAGGTTCCTCGTTTAGATTATTTAAGTGAATTTCGTATATATTTGAACCAAAAACTGAATAACGATTAAAATCCATTCTACATTGGATTTTGTTTAACTTTTTAAATGGCTTTTTCGTAATAATTTGACAGATTTCACAATTTTACCAATAATGGAATGAAGTATTTAATTTTTCAAAATTTTATTTTAAATAAAACAATAAAATATTTCAGTCGAATGGTTGAACAGGAAGCCGAAGTGTTGATTGTTGATAAAAATTGACAAAGATAATTTCAGATATTGTTAATTTATCACTTGTCCGTTATAACGTGCTAGTTCCTCGTGCTGTAAATGAATGATTCTGTTTGATGATAAATACTGTTCGAGGAAGTAAAAATCAATCATATTGAATATATTATCTTTTTAAGGATCATTTTACATTGATATAAGATTATGTGCTTTTTTAATAAGTGAAACGAAGATTGAAATGAGCTTTTCTATTTAAAGTTTGTCCGACGTCTGCCCGTCTGTTAACTTTGGTCAATTTCAACCAAGATTGGCGGATTATCCTTTGGTGAAGGTAATTCAAGTTTTAATTAATTAAAAAACAAGGTTTCTTTTTAATTTGAGATTATCAAGAAAGGCAAAAATAGTGTTGGGTTATTTGAAATTCTTCTCAAGAAGCAATAAACCAGAAAAAAGTTGAAGCCAGATGATATAGTCTATATTCAAGTTTATTCAATTCATTGCCCCTGGGGTTTGAATTAGGGCGTAATAAGGGCTCGAAATTGCCTTCGGATATATAGCAAAAACATTTTGAAAACTTTCTTTACCTGATTATCAAATGTATGCAAAAAAAAAAAAAAAAAAAAAAAACGCGCGGCCACTATAGAAGATTGAATTTTTACGTGGAAGCATATAGGAAAGCAATCTTTGAAAAAATTCTCAAGAAAACATGGACATGATACAAGAATCCTAAGATAGTGCAGATTCAAGTTTGTTCAAAGCATGACCACGGGGTAGTGTAGGAACATAATACGGGACAAAGGTTAAATGGAAAAATGAAGCAAAAATTATTTTAAATTTCTTAAAAACCTCTTGACTGTGATATTGATATGCAAGCATTCTTATGTAAAGTACAGGCGACCGTTTCACTAACAGATCGTAGCTCGTAAACGTAGACGTAAATGTGAACGTAGCACGTAAGTGCGTTTAACTAAGAATTACGATTTGCGAGTTACGATTAAAGTTGATCGTAAGTCTACAAGTAGTCAGGGGCACTCTTAAAATACTTACGTGCAAGTAATTTCATGAAAAAAGCAACACAAAACATAAATATAAGATTGTCACTTTAACTTTTCTACTGTCTGCTCAATGTGTACACCAGGTCACGTGATCCTCACATCAACCTGGTTAGTGTTAGCTTGATGACGCGACCTCTAAATAGTTAGCTGTCTGCTTTCTTTGCAAGTAAATTGTGTAGACCGAGTCCGATCTTAAAATACACGCTAAAACATACTTGCAACTTAAAAAAAATACAAGTTTAATATTTCTTTTTTGAACTTATCTATTTTCTACGAAATAATACTTATTAATATAGGCAGGGATCCTATATACTAAGTATATACGTCCATGATAGAAGTAATTCATTTTTAGAAAGACTTTGACAAACCTGCATATGGGAGTATCGGCAATATTAAAAAAAAGATAAATAAATGAAATATTTATATAAAAAAAATAAATAATAAAAGTAAACATGGTAAAGTAAAAATAAATAAACATACCGAGTTTTATAATTATTATTTTTTGATCAGAAACATGAAGCAAACATGGAAGCAAGGCCGAGGATCGTCTAACATTCGGAAATAAACTTTGTTTTCAAATGTTTAGATATACGAGTATGTCATAAATTTGCAATTTAAGCTTGAAGTAAAATGGAACGTTATACTCCATCGTAGATTATATTTGTTAATTATAAGACATAAAATGCAGTAATAAATTTAAATAATTGATACATATAATTTGATCCCGGTTAAAAAGGGACTTTTATTTAACTTTATTTATAGTATAATTATAGATATACTTTTTTTAGTAAACGATTTTCCATTAATTAATTGTCCTTTTATTTCTTTTTTAAGACTTAGAAAAATACATGGTGATTCTTTTTTACTTAGTTATGATCTTTTCCTTTCTTTCGTTATTTTTTCTTTCTTTCTCTCTCTTTCTCCAACAAATACACCTCCTCAGTCAGAAGAGTTCCAATAAGTTGGTCGTAACTCGCTTATCGTAAGTGCTACGTCTACGACATGTTTTGTGTATAACGCTTGTATACGTTCACGTGAAATAATCGTAAACGTAATCGTACGTTTACGATCTACGATTTGTTAGTGAAACGGTCGTTAGATTTATATATATTTTAAAATCATCGCTACGGTGGCTAGGACGCTTTTAATGAAATGGGGATGTAGTGTTTTACACGAGAATTTAAAAGAAAATTAAAAAATTTTATGGGAATGAAAAGGAAAAAGAATCTTTTGAGGACTGTATGGCAAAGGTAACTTTGATGAGCTTTGTTGCCCATTGGCATTTTTCTTACATGTAATTAGATTTTGGGGGTATGTTTTGGCTCTAAGTAACCTAATTCAATAACATTGTACATGTAGATAAAAGGTAATTCTTTTTATTTTCACATATACTAGGTCTTAAAGTAAAGCTACCCATTGAACATCATAAATTCGATACAGGAGACAACTCAGTTAAAGTTCCTGTTCCTCAGATTTTTATTGAATATTGAAATTCTGTGCTTTCGTTCAAATTTTAGTTAACATGAACCTTAAAGGGCTGTCTCACAATACAATACTGATATTTTCATTCCTTCTTTTATTTATAATTGGTGCTCTAGTCTTC